TGTTTAACATCTTCATCAATGACCTGGATGTAGGGATAGAGTCCACCCTCAGCAAGTTTGCTGATGATACGAAGTTGGGAGGAGTGGCTGACACACCAGAAGGCTGTGCTGCCATTCAATGAGACCTGGACACGCTGGAGAGTTGGGCAGAAAGGAACCTGATGAGGTTCAACAGGAGCAACTGTGGAGTCCTTCACCTGGGGAGGAATAACCACATGTACGAGTACCGGTTAGGGGCTGACCTGCTGGAGAGGAAAAGGACCTGGGTGTTCTGGTGGGCAGCAGGCTGGCCATGAGCCAGCAGTGTGCCCTTGGGGCCAGGAAGGCCAACAGTATCCTGGGGTGCATTAAACAGAGCATGGCCAGCAGGTCAAGGGAGGTTCTTCTCCCTCTCTACTCTGCCCTGCTCAGACCACATCCGGAATATTGTGTCCAGTTCTGGGCTCCCCAGTTCAAGAGGGACAGGGATCTTCTGGAGAGAGTCCAGTGGTGGGCCACAAAGATGATGAGGGGCCTGGAGCAACTCCCATATGAGAGGAGGCTGAGAGAGCTGGGGCTGTTCAGCCTGGAGAGAGAAGACTGAGAGGCGATCTTATCAATGTCTATAAGTACCTAAAGTGTGGGGGCCAAATGGATGGGGCCGGGCTTTTTTCAGTAGTACCCAGTGACAGGACAAGGGGCAATGGGTAAAAGCTGGGACACCAGAAGTTCCACACAAACTTAAGGAAAAACTTTTCTGTGAGGGTGACAGAGCACTGGGACAGGCTGCCCAGAGAGGTTGTGGAGTCTCCAACTCTGGAGATGTTCAAAGCCCGCCCTGACACTTTCCTGTGCAACCTGCTGTAGGTGAACCTGCTTTGGCAGGGGGGTTGGAGTAGGGGATCACCTGAGGTCCCTTTCAACCCCTACAATTCTGTGGTTCTGTGATTCTGTAATTTCTGCACATTCAGCCTTAATTCTAGCTCATCTACGCCCAGGAGCACCATCCTAAGCCTGATCTACCAGTGCTTACAAGACTAGATCCTTCACCACTTCTTGCCTGACATGCAGCCTTCTCCTGAATATGAGGCATAATCTCCTCTGAAAACCTTTTCCAGCACCAGAACTAAACTGCACTGAAGACCCTTACTGTCATCTCCCCCAATCTTCATATGGTACTATCTCTAAAATCCAACAGTAAGCCAGCCATAAACAGTAGGACCTTGCTGCTAGAGCAGATTTGCATCTTTTGGCCTCTGCCCTAAAGCAAGTATTGAAGTAATTTTTTATTTCATTTCACAAGGTAAATCACTATACGCTCCTGGTTAAAAAGTGATTACTTAATCCAGTCCTGGCCCTAGCCTGACAAGTCCCATCAACCTCTCTGCCAGCTGGCTGCCTATACAAGCATCACCTCCTGCATGCCCTTGCAAGTCCCAGGAAGTCTAGGCTAAACCCCAACCTTATTCTCTTTGTTAACCTGGAGTCTAATCGATTGCACTTCTCTCACTAGCAGTTTCTGCCAGTGCTAGATCACAAATGAGACGAGAATTGTTTGGCTAGCTTAGTGCTCTGTGTAACTCAGCATCCAGTTTTAAGCTCTATTTAATGACTTTTTGGACAACTGGTGTCCAAAATCCTAATGTCAGCAGTAACTCTGCTCAAGGGAACTCAGTCCACACCATTTCTAAATCATCCAACACTAGCTCCAGCCACCATCGCAAAAAAATAGCCAGTCAGTGTCCTCTGGCAGCAGCCCCTAACCAAAGCTTATCAGCCCTAGCACTACAGAAGACAACATCAATATAAATCCAGTCCTAATCCAAATACCTCTGACAGCCTCCAGACACACATTCATGAGATCCAACCCTATACACCCCTGATGCAAAGATCTTGGTCCATGCAGTCCCTATGAACAAACTTTCATCTTGACACCAGGGATTGAAAACCAACATAAACCTAGTCTAGTCTAGATCTATGCCAACAGTGGTTTCTCCTCCAAACCAGCCCAAAGCCTGGACAATACACTCTACTAGACCTTGTTTTAAACCCACTGTCTTTGCTGCCTCACACCTGAGCCACAGCACTAGGGCTCTAGCTATGTGAAAACCACAGCTTGTAAAATAAATCCTAATAGGCTGTGTTTTATCAGTCCTAACCCTTCCCTGGCAATCCTTACTGGCTATTTCAGTAAGCGTGTAACTCAGGTAGTTCTTATTTGAAGTGCTGATGGCTTTAAATAGTCAACCGGTGATGACTGTTAACACTACATTATCAGCTGTAGACCCCATCTGACAGTATTGATTCATCCTGCTCAAAGGAGTGCAGATGTGTGCCATGAGATGGCCACTTCACCTTTCTCTATTTTATGTCGGAAATGGACAATATTGACAGAGGAGACTTTTTAGCTCAGGCAGGTGATTATGTGACCTTGACAACACAGTAGATCAACAGCAGCTCTGACAATAAAGAGAAAGTTCCCCTATGTGATATTACCACTATGTTCTTGAGATCATGATGTCAGTCAGAAAGATTTCCAGATGAAACTAGCCTTCATTTCACCAGGATTATATCAAACATGACACTTTTTTCTTTTAGGAAAAAGGCATTTCTATTCACATGAACTCTTCAGAATTTTGTATTTAAAACATCAACGTACCGCTGCCTATTACAAAGTCAAGAAATCTAGCAATTATACAATTCAGCTCCTATGGGAGCAGCATGAGGTTTCTTCATGCAATATTAAAGCACTCTGTGTCACCAACAAAGAAACTCAAATGACAAGTCCCACACTGACTTTCTGCTTCTGAATTATATCCACGTGTATAACTTAACCTCTCTGAATAAAACCATTCAGGGTCAATTGAAAAGGATTATAACAGTCATTCTGGAGACAATGATCCTAAAACTAGAGTTCCGCTACATCTATAAATTAATTTAGATCTGTTTGCATAAAACCTGCCTTGTCCCAGGAAAGTAAATCTTGACACCCACGATCCCACTTTGTAAGGAAAACTTGCTAATACCGCAGAGGAGCTTTTCATCTGTTTTTTTAAAGGAAAGCACTTTACCTTCACAAGCTGAAAGCAAAATAGTCATGGCTATGGTAAATATGGAAAGCATCTGTGAAGTCTGACATAACTGAGAGGTATGCTGCATTTTGGTACTCCTGTATTAGCCTTATTTGTATGTACACCTCTATATCCAGCAAAATCTAACAAATGAAATATCCAGAAGCTAAAAACTTTTGTTAGAAAAGTAATTAAATAGTAATGAATAATAGCCTTGTTGCATGAAGCAATATCTAAAGTATCTTCTGTAGCTGTTTATTAAAAAACTAACTGATTCAAATGCAAGGAATTTTTAAGTGTCTGATCCAAGGCAAAATCTAATGTTAACTTGAGAAAAGATCCTACAACTGTGAGCAGGGTTTTTGTTTGTGCATTTTTCTATATCCACTTCAGACAACGGATAGGCCAATAAATTAAAACCTGCTGAGCCACACTACTCTGTCTTTCAAAAGGTGCAAACACATAGCAGAACTATTAAAATAGCTTAATCTCAACTCAGCAGTGTCTGTTCTGCCTATGCCTAACCAGCTTATACACTCATATTGGCCAAACAGTCAGCATACAAGTAGGGTACTGCCTTCAGTTTAGCCAGCGCTTCTTACCTTGCTGTGACAGAGAGGAAAAGCAAGCAGCAAAGGTATATTCCCTGTCATAGAAGATAATCGTGGTAACACCGTCCAACCCTCCTGTTACCATTTCAAGGCCATTGGTCCACATGACCGACTGTCCCCAACAGGTATGTTCTAACTAACCAGGCTGCCTTAAATCCATAGACAGCACAAATAATGCAAAGTGAGCATTACTGCTTACATTACACTGATGTTCATCATCTAAACATAACCTGCAACACGGGTAAAAGCGTTTTAGACATTTTGAATTGACCAGCGTCTGTTTTATTAAGGCATTTTTATTCTGACTTTCAGAGAGAAAGGAATGCATTCTTCAGGTCAGGTTTCTCCTTGTGAACCAGTCCTGATAATTTCAGCTTGCTTTTTGTGCTGCTAACATACCAAGATGGACAGGGCCAGTCTACGTGGCTCTGCAACTTCCCAAGCTAGCCCATTCCAGCCCAGCCCAGCTTAACCTAACCCAATCACTTATTGTATTTTCCTGTTCACTGTTCAAACTTCTAACTTCTAGCTGCCATCAGCTTTAAGTTAAGGTAAAAGTCATCTACCTTTGGGGCCCACAGTGAAAAATTTATGTAGTTCTGGACATGATACAGGCTCTACAGTTTTACAGCTGAAATCCTTCAAGTTCCTTGGACCTACTGGAAAAGGATTTGTTTTATTATAATCCCCAAGTGTTCATTTCTGTATGTGTGTTTTCCTACAGAATGTGTGCATTGCTTCCAGCAATGTGTTTTATATTACCTGGAAGAACAGAAATGCTCTAATGGGAGGAAACAATTTTATTCTTATTGCCAGTGCAACACAAAGCAGAACTTCAAAATGACACCATGACTTCTCAAGCAAAGTCGTCCCATTTATTTGGAGCTTGAGGACCCCATTCTCCACTCCCTTACAGTCTTCTGTGGAATTACCCTAGTATAAATCTCACAAATTACGGGACAAAGATCCAGACTTTCTTTCTTTTTGCTTGTCACAGACAAAGCAAGCTGCATGCCCTTGATTTATATGTAACTCAGCAGTACATACAGAAAGTAATCTGCCTTTTCTTGTAATGAGTTCATCTTTTCTCTTTAGGGCACACATTGGGTATGCCTTTCTTGGCATAAACTCAGTTTCTTTCCTGAGGAATGTCCAATGAGGCATTCTTCAGCTTTTTAACTATAAAGAATTTAATGTAGAATGCAAGAGCTAGCCTGGACTAGGCTTTGTGGTAAATGTCTACTGAAAAATCAAGACCTAGAAAAATCTCTCACATCTTTCTAATGCATCTTGTCTTACTTTATGTTGGTCTAAGAGGTCAATAACCAATGATCCTCACCTTGATAGTGAAGTCTGCAGTGAGAGGCCCAGGTATTCTTAATATCTCCTTGTCAGGAAATTTCTGGAAGTCTATGCTACAATTCTCCACGAGGAAGGATCCTGTAGAGCTGAGGCTGTTTTCACTCTTCACACCTTGGAGAGCCTTAGTTTCCAAATCTGACAAATACAAACAAATTGACAGGAAACTAGAGCATTATAATTTGAAGTAATAGTAAGTGAGAGCAGAAAAAGGAAAACAACACAAAACAGTGGTAGTACAGATTTGCCTCCTAAATTAGTGATAAACCAACTTTTTTGTTCTTTTCCACAGTTTATTCACTTTTCCATAGGTTACTTTTCTTTTTTCTCCTCCATCTGCTTTTTGGCTTTGTTCAACCCTTAAATTTCTAGCTCCGCATTCACCTCCTAACCCATAGGTCATGTTTTCACACTCTTCCAGACATATTAATCCATTCCTAGTTAGGCATATTTGCTGTCATTTAACTCGCTCTCAGTAAGTCAGTCTCCTATGTGGAGCATGACTCAGACCTTGCCCCATGAGTGCTGGCTTTGTTAAGTTGCTCTTCCCTCTTTCAGTTCAAAGGTAGGTCGCTAACCACATGTTGCTGTAGTAGACAATTAACTGACAGCAATCCAGTCTTCTCTCCAGAAGTGGTCTGATCCACTCCAGTGAAGTAGGAAGGGAAGGTGAGTGCTGAACCCTCCTGAGCTATCCCTCTGGCTCTCTCTGCATTCACAGCTCCCAAAAGTGGACATTAATTCAGATACAGTTTGGCAGCAGTTACTCCTGATTGTTAAATCATAATAAGCACATTAAATCCTTTATTAAATGGACATCAATGGTCAGACAGTAGATCTGTTCCATCATCTAGTTAGCTTCCCCATCACTCCAGATTATGCTTTGCAGCATGTTGTATTGGGTTTGCATGGCAAGGTTTTGGTAGTGGGGTGGGGTCAGGAGGGACATAGGAGTGGCTTCTGTGAGAAGCTGCCAGAAGCTTCCCCCATGTCTGACACAGTCAATGCCAGCTGGCTCCAAGATGGACCCACCGCTGGCCAAGGCCAAGCCCACCAGTAATGCCTCTGTGATAACATAATTAAGAAAAAAAAAAAAAAAGGAAAGAGGAAAAAAACCTGCAGACTTTGCAGCTGGGGAGAGAGAAGTGTGAATATGTGAGAGAAACAACTCTGCA